GGGAGGGGAGCGGGTGTGTGGGAGCGGGAGCCGGGGCTTGGCCCGGGCCGCTGGCCGGTGAGGAGGCGGGAGGGGGCGGGGCCTGCCAGGGGGCGGGGGAGGGGTCTTGCGCGGAGGCCAAGTGGGGCGCGCGCTGGGGAGAGCGGGAAGGTAAGGGGGCGCGAGATGGGCCTGAGGGGAGAGTTGGGAAGTGGAGAGAGCATGGGGTGTTGTGGTGAGACAGAGGGTACTTAGGGCGAAATCTGGGGGAGCCGCGTTTATGGTGAGCTGTGGAAACTGGAGTGATGAGAGAACCTGGAATCTGAGCTAGCCAATGAGGGACAGCAAGGGAGTCAGGCCTTGATCCCCCAGCAAGGGATCACTCCCTTGCGTATCCCTCTTTTCCTAACAGTGTAAATGAGCAAAGATGGATCAGGAAGGTGGGGGAGATGGGCAGAAGGCCCCGAGCTTCCAGTGGCGGAACTACAAGCTCATCGTGGATCCTGCCTTGGACCCTGCCTTGCGCAGGCCTTCTCAAAAGGTGTACCGCTATGATGGAATCCACTTCAGCGTCAACGTGAGTGCCCCAGACCTTTTCTTGCCATCTAGGGAACTCCAGTCCCCCTGCTTCTCTGTTACTCCGTTCAGCACCCAGAACTCTCCTACCTATAGCCTGCTTTCTCAAGGGTGGACAACTGAACCCAGCTCTTTTGCATGTGAGTCTCCAAATGGGCTTCTTAGAGCTCAACAGCCTGGTTTCATCTTGAGCTGTCTTTCTGTTCCTGCTTTCCTTCCTAGGACTCAAAGTATATACCAGTCGAAGATCTCCAAGACCCCCGTTGCCATGTCAGGTCCAAAAACAGAGACTTTTCCCTCCCAGTCCCTAAGTTTAAGGTAAGTGTCTGCTGGTCTCCTGGTGTGGTGGCCCTTGGAGGGTGCGGAAGATCCATCCTGACACTCTAGTCTTCACATAGCCTAATAAAAGGGGTTTTGTAGTGAAAAGGTCACAGCCAGGTCGAACAACCTTAGTGGCAATGAGACTGAGTTGTTTTGGGTAGGAGGTAAACTTAGGTAAACTTATCTTTCTGGGGAGGTATAGGTGAGGTGTCCAAAGTGTATCCCTGGTGGCGGGGGTGTTGACTTCTTGAAGGATGAAGTAAAGGCAGATTTAGCTGCTATATTTATCACTGTATTCCTAGACAGTGCATAGCACAACAGTGAGATATCTCAGTTCCGCCACCATTAAAGGGAGTGACAAAGCCACTGTCACCCCAGAGTCCTGTGTTTCTCACCTCTCATTTGACCATCTTGTTTTCTCAGAGGATTCCCATTTTCCACTCTAAGCAGGACACTCATCAGGCCTTGGACTAAGAACTGATGGTTCTTAGTTTCTTCCACTAATTCTTTATTCTTTTCCCCTTCTAAATAAAATGTGGGGTTTCCTTACTGTTTCACAGCCATGGCTTCACCTATTATCTAAATGTTGATCCTTCCAAATATCTGTTTCCAGCCACCATTAGTCTGTCCATGTGAAGGCACAACAGGCATCGCATACTCACGAGATTTAAAACAAATTCTCTTCACAGCCTTAATTCTGCTCTCTATTTCATTTTCCCTCTACTGATAAATGACAACACCATCTACTCAGCTGCACAGGCTAGAAACCTGGTAGTCATCCTATGATACTCCTCTCCCTAATTTCTTACGTACTCTGT